AACTCCTCCTTAAACAACTCCTTAAATAACTGCTTACTAAAAATATTATTGGCTATTATCTCCATTTACAACTAAGAATGGATTTCAACATATAACAATATAAAATCATCTTGCAAATTTTGCATTAAGCTCAACTATCCTGGGAGAGACCGCAAGTTCTCTGAAAAAAACAATCCATCATCTGCTTCAGATGATGTTATTTATATTTCCACGCTTGACACACCTAATGCTATTACTGTTCACTACCATCAACTGCAACAATCCACTGCAACAAAAAACAAAAGGCTGAAGAAAGAGATATATATATTTGATGCCCCATTATCAGGAATATCCTCATTTTTAGTTTGTTTTGTGCACATCATTGTTTTCAAACTGTAAATATACCCTTATCTTTAAAAACACTTTAAACTTGGAGGGTAAAATTCTGTCAATAAATACATAGTGCATTATATAGTTAACAAGGCACTCAAAATGCAATAGTTGCTGCTGATCTATGATCAAAGTGGAGATTCTCTGTGTGGACTTCATGAAGCTTCTGAGAAGTTTGAAAAGTCTTCCAAAGTTTGAAAACAAACAAATACATCTGAATTTTAAAAAATATTTCTGCATTGCAGCAGGTGAAATGATTTGTTCAGCGTGCCAACTTTAACATGGCTTCATCCACTATCAGGGAATACCAATGGAAATATTCATAAGAAACAAGGAGAAATAATTTCATTGCTCTGTGACATAAGGACACATTCATCCCTGAGGTCTTCTGCTGAATTAAATAGGCACTGAATATTTTTAAAGATCTTATGAATTCAATTAAACAGTAGTGAAGATGCCCTAGCCTCCTTATTAAGAGTGGCAATTTCGGTACATAGAAACAGCTGGGGAACTTGTGACCTCTCAAACCTCCCGTCTGATGCATGCTCTGAACACTGCCTGCAGTCCTGCCAGTCCTGATGCTGAGCTGATACATGATTGACTCCTAAATGGTGTAAGATTGGGCTCAGTGTCATTGCTGCAAGAAGGCTTCCTAATTTTAAAGCATTTTTTGTTACATGTTACAAAAATGCAGGAATTCTCGGTAGGGAGCCTCCCTGCAGACGCACATCAGATGTGTTTGGCAAAAGTAAAAAACACAATGAAAGCAAAGCAATAAAATACCAGACTTACCAAAAATTACACCAGCAATTTTTCTCCCTTTGGAAAGAGTTTCGTTTGTGTCCACCTCTCAGAAAGACACCTACATTGCTTTAGCTTGAGGAAAAAAAATAAACCATTATACAACCCAGCATCCATTGTTAAAGCCAGAGCTGTAAAAGCCCTTTGAGGGTTTGAAAAGTGAAAGAGTTTATATGGTGTTTGCAGAATTTTACATAAAACACAGTATTTTCATGTTCTCCATGTCCCAGCTTCTTCAAAATTAAGATACCTTCCCGTGTTCTGTTCTTCCATAGAAAACAAAATGACTCATCTGTAATTTCACACAAAGATACACAGAAAGACTACAAATACACTGACCCTCCTGAGGTGTGGTGCTATCCAGGACGAACAGAACCAGCTGGCTACGGGGTAACTTAAAACTGTAGCAAATTGCAAGGTAAAATTTCTCAAAATAATACAAAACAGAAACAGAAAACTATCTCGGACCTTGAAGATGGGCCACCACTCAGGACTAGATTAAGGTGAAGCCAAACTGTAGTACGCATTTAAATAATTTAGGTAAAAACCAAACCAAACCAAACAAACAAACAAACAAAACCAGATGAGAGGCACAGAACCATTGGCATAGACGAGTTCCAGAGAGACACCACAAGGATATGAGGATTATAAAAACCCACTTGCACTTCCAGTGAACTCTGTGTATAGACAGATGCATTAGTCCTTAAGAGGGAAACGTAAAAAAGTAGGGCAGCAGTTTCATGTGAGAAAAACAAGTTAGAACAATCCTTTTGGGGATGCTTTCACTAAAACGGGCTGCCCCTTTTTATAGTTCAAGGCAAGATACACATTTCTTTTAAAAGTTTATCTTAACAATTCTGAATACTCTAGCTTTGTCAGTGGCAAGTAATTAAGACATATTCAAATGCCACAAATTGTCTCTATGGGTTAAAAAAATATTTTCTTTCAGATCCATAAGGTCAAGCTCTGCTTCCAGCAAAAAAAGTACCTTCTGTCTGTCTGCTGAAGCAGAAATACTCCCTTTCTGATGCTCCTAGGCTTTGAAAGATGAAGCCCCCCTAACAGACATATATTTCAAGATGAGAGATTACATCATAGAGCCACGATCAGAAATCATTTACCAAATGAAGTCCTGAAATGAAAATTACTAATAGAAAGTGGCAATTTGGCCATTTTTCTGTACTACCCTAATCATGCTCACAAAATCTAGGGGCTGGCTAAAAAAACACCTTCCTTCAGATGTAAGATAGAGACTGTTTCTAATATTCTGCACAAAGCTGTTACATAAACCCTCTGATGGAGACGTCTTCTTGCATCCCAGAGCCAGCCCGCTCACTTATTCCAGAAACCCAGGCAGGTAAAGCCTCAATGAGGAGAACAGGGGTCAAGGTGATGCCCTAGCATCTTGTGTACATCTGCCCCTGTGCCACACCTGCAGTGAGCTGGATCCAAGGGAGCTGCCACACCTCTGCACAGGAATTACTGTGAAGCAGAAAGGACACACGGGCAGTGAGGGGCCACCCTCTGTTCTGCTGCTCTGTACTGCTGCTGGAGCAGGGGAACCATGCAGCACCAGGCTGCACAGCCTGCTGGCACGCAGGTGCTCAGGGAAACATCGTAATTTCCCTTCCCCATCTCCCCAGGCTGCTTCTGATTTAATGCAGACAAAACTGGATAAAATACAGGCATTGCCCTGGGAGCTGGAATCAGCACCAGGTGTCTGCACCTCTTGCATCTGGATAGCATTGGGTGGTTGCACAAATCCAGCTTAAAATGCTGTACTGGTCTCAACATTTGAGTAGTAAATGGAAAATGCAAAAAATTAAATTCAGGTTGGGATAATTAATTTCTGCACCACCAGAAGCAGTTTCCCTTCATTTTTATTTGGGAAAATTATTTTATTCTGGACAAGTTTATCTAAGCAGCCAGACTAGAACTGTAGTTAACTCTAAAAACATATGATTGCTTTAGCAAATAAACAGTAACATATTCACTCTTGATGTCAAGCCATTAGTATATTGAACCTGGTTATGGGCATGAGATTTATTTTTCAAGCTTCCCTAAGACACAGTCACAATACCCTTCCCTAAGGACAGCTGTAAAGAGATATTACACTGAGATTTCATATCAACAGCAAAGAAAATGCTCAGGTAGATGTCAATCTTCAGTGACAAGCAATTAAAAAGGTAATCCAAGATAGTATAACTAATTAATATCAAAGACTAAATACCTAAAACATTGCTTGCAGATCAGATTGCAGCAGAGGCCACCACAAAGGGATTTCAATCACATACCTCCTGTGCTTCTCTGACCCCATATCTCCAGAGGGTAGAAGATAACCCCCAAACCAGTATTAAGGGTTTGACTTCCAAGCAGGCTCAATACTAAGCCCATAACATTCACAAGCTCCAGCACCTGGTTAAATTATTTTGCCCTGAACTATGCAGATTCTACTTTTCCTCCATACATCTTACAGGGCCCAGTAAGGCAGGATGGGGAGGCCCCAGGTCAGGGCTCTTAGGAGGGAGGGCTGCAGAATCAACACCTGCCATTCAATTTAAATCTGCTCAGCTCATGGCACAGGTATTTCTAAAGGGTAAATTAATTCAAGTGTTGTTCAACTTGTGAGCCAAAACTTGAAATAAATATTGGTATTGCTTTTACTACCTTTGGTCACTTGTTTTGGAAATAGCATCGCTTTTGGTTTCTGAGCTGAAAGCTTACAACTGTTTCTAATATTCCATTTGATGTAAATGATTCAATAGAAACAGAGTCAAAAATACTCTCTTCAGGTTTAAAGATTGCTTTAAAATGTTTAGTTAATGCTGAGGTACTTACAGTATCTTTAAGTCCCAGTTAATAAGTAACTAAAAATATACATTAACAAAATTCTTTTGTTCTCTCAGTGTGAATGAGTTCTCTAGTGTCTACACTGGGAAATGATTATTATTAATATCATTTTCAAACACAATTATTGTTTTTAGACATACCCAACTCCTAATTCTATCACCAAACTCTTTACATTAATAGCATTCTTAAAAAGTAAATTCAAGTGCAGAATTAAATGGAAAGTTTTAATAGCTTGTACATATGTATATTTGATATTCTTGACCGCAGAAAGGGATAGCATCATAATATTAAAGAAAAACAGGTATAAATGTAGCTGTTAGAGCCATATAAACAAGTTCATCAAAGTCAAGAATTCCTATGAGCCTCACTTTTATTCAAAAACTGTATTTTCTATACAGACTATTTGCTTTTAAAATAATAGGGTTAAGCTGTTAGTCATTCTAACTATTCATATAGACATGTTAGCTGGAATACTTGTTGTAAATCTCTCAGGGTGACAAATGAAAGATAATAAACCCTTGATCAATATAACTTTTATTTATTCATCCAGAAACAGAGGATATCATAGGCAACAACGCCGCCTAGGAGAACAAGGATTTCACATAAACTGTTTTGGCAGAAACACGCATTTAAATAATCATCCAAATCACCACCTCACTATCTCTATCTTAGAAAAAAAAAATTAAAACTAAACAACCAAAAAAATGGAGAAAAAGAAACATAAGATCTGAACAAACAAACCCAGAATTTTTTATTTAATGTCTATGCCAGCCACATCTGTCCCTGATTTTAGCAGTCATAATACTTAGCAGTGACAACGGCACCTTTCATTTGCAAACACATTATAAACATGAACTGACTGCAATTATACCACAATACCTCACCACAGCTAATCAACAAGACTGCCTGGTCTGCCCTCAGCCTGGGGAAGTGCTGATTGAAGTTTGTGCTGCCAGCCCACTGTATGACAGCATCTACATCTGCAAACTACAGCACATCATCAAGCAGGTTTCTCCACTCGGTGCTAATATTATCTTTTATAATCCAAGAAGAACTGACCAGACCAGGACACAATTTAATGTAAACCATTTGGAGTGAAAGGTGTTATCTTGCCTAGCGAAATTTCCCCCTCACAGTCCAGCTCACAGGCAGAGTCAGTGGCAACCTCATGGTCAGGGGAGATCTGGGACATCCTATCAAAAGGGTCCTGGCGATTTTCCTCACAGTCAACCACATTTGGGATCATGTTAACATAAGCAGTCACTATCTCCTTATGGTAAAGGGTGTCCTGGTTGTAAGAGATAAGCTCATTGCTTATATTAACAGTCTCCACGGCAGTACCAGAGCAAAACTGACCGCATCCAAGGAGGTTGGAGAAAACCTTTCTAAAGTCAGCATTGAAGGCATAGATGATGGGGTTAAGAGAAGAGTTAGCCCAACCAAACCAGACAAAGATATTAAAGGTGGTCTCACTGACGCAGGGGAGGCCAGCGTGGGGGTCACTGGGTGGGCTCTCACAGAAGGGAACCATGCAGTTCAGGATGAAGAATGGCAACCAGCAACAGACAAAGACACCCATGATGACAGAGAGCGTCTTCAACACCTTGGTTTCTTTCCTGATGGACGACTTGAGGCTTGTGTGATGGTGGCAGTCAATGTGGCTGCTCCGGCAGCTCTGTGCATGCTCAGCTGCCCTCTCCAAGGAAGAGATCCGACGAATCTGCACCTGGGCAATGCGGTAGATTCGAGTGTAGGTAACTATCATGATAGCCACCGGGATATAAAAACTGATCAAGGAGGAGGAAATAGCATAAGTCCTGTTGAGGCTGGAGTCACAGCTCTCCGATGGTCCAGTGAGGGTATCATTGCTGCCAGAGGTCCCATCAGAGGGTCTCACTGCTGCTAATGCCACCCATGTGGTACTCATATCTTCTGCCCAGGTGGTGACAGCACCTGCTGCTGCCCAGGCAGTGCCAAATCCATCTCCAATATCATCAGTGGCAACAACATCCCCACCTTTGTGCCAGTTGAGCTGGACAGGGATGAAGGAGATGAGCACGGACAGTGCCCATGCCACGCTGATCATCACCAGAGCCAAGCGCTGGGTCATCTTTCTCTCGTAGCGGAAAGGGCTGGAGATAGCCCAGTACCTGTCCACACTGATCACGCACAGGTTGAGGATGGAGGCCGTGGAGCACATGATATCAAAGGCCACCCAGACGTTGCAGAAAGCCCCAAAGGGCCAGTACCCAGCTACCTCTGCCACCGCCTTCCAGGGCATGACCAGCAGGGCCACCAGTAGGTCCGAGACGGCCAGGGACACGATGAAGATGTTGGTAACCTTGCTCCGCAGGTGCCGGTAGCGGACGATGGCCGCGCACACGAGCACGTTCCCAAAGAGCGTCCAGAGGATGAGCAGGGCCAGCAGGCTGCCCGCCGCCACCTGCGCCGCTCCGGGAGCGCCCGCCGGGCCCCGCGCCTCGCTGGGGGGCCCCGTCGCCGGGGGCAGCGGGCTCCGGCCGCCCCGCAGCATCGCTGGCGGCTCCCGCCGGCGGCGGGGCGGCTCCGGCCGGGATGCGCCGAGCAGCCAGCGCCGCCCCGCCGCCCGGCCCCATGGGGCCGCTGCCCCCCCGCCCCGCCGCCACCCCCGCCGGACGGCCCCGCTCGGCCGCTCAGCGCGCTCCGGGCTCCGCGCCTCGCCACTACCGTCGCGCCAGCCCTGCCGGGGTCCCTCTCCCGCGCTCCGGGGCCCCGCCTGGGGTCCCCGCCCCGCGGCTCGGCGCGGATCCCCCTGCTCGAGGTCTCCGCCCCGCGGCTCCTTCCAGTGGTTCCCGCTCCGCAGTTCGGCTCGTCCCCCTGCTCGGGCGTCTGTCCCGCGGACCCCGGTTTGGGTACCCGCCTCGCGTCCTTCCGCTTGCGCTCCCCGCTCCGCCGCTCAGCGCGCTCCTCTCTTCCTCGGGCTCCCCGCTCCGCCGCTCAGCGCGGACCCTGCCCGTGGCACACGCTCCGCTCCCGCTCCTTCTGGGCTCGCTCTACGCCCCCGCGACTCTCGGTGGTTCCCACCCGGGCTGGCGGCTCCGCTCGCCCCGTGCCCGCCCGGGCTCCCAGCGCTCCGGTGCTGCGCTCCCCCGGTGCTGCCCGCCCGTTCCCCGCTGCCCGGGCCGGCCCGACCGCCCCCGCCGCCCTGTGAGCATGCTCCGCCACCGGGATCGCCCCGTCCGGGCCGGTGGGCACCGCGGCTGGCAGGGGACGGGACGGGACGGGACGGGACGGGACGGGACGGGACGGAAAGGCGCAGCAGCCCTGCGTGCTCCTTCCCTCCCTCCGAAACCGAGTCACCCTCGCAATTCCCCGGTGCGGACACCGGCTCCGTGCGGCGGGTTTGCGCACACAGAAGGAGAGCGCGGTCCCACGGCGGGGAGCGGGGAGTGACCCCCAGCATCCCCAGGGGAAGAGGGACTGTCCAGGACGGGTGCGGACACAGCTCGGCCGGCCTCTCGCTGGGAGCGAACGGGTCTGAAAGGTGCGGTGTGGGGAGCGGGACGGGCTGGGTGTCTTCCACAGGAATGGGAAATAATAGTGTGCCTCGTACTTGTTCCAATGGCTTCTACTGGGTGGCTGAGGTGTATTGCAGGCAGAAAGCCCGGCAACCGAAAACCCGATTCTTTCTCTTTCCAGCTCTATGGGATGAATCATTTCTCTCCGTAGGGCTCCAGCACAACTAGAAACGGACTACGACCATGAGCATTGCAGCTCTTGGACTCACCGTGTGCTAATGTCAGCTCGATTTTCTTCAGAGAATGTGTTTTAGTTATTTTTATTCAAAATATAATTGATTTAGTTCCTCTAAAACTTAATTTCTTTTTTAAATTGTTGCCAGAGATCAAACCCATTCTTGACTCAGCAGCCTGTTTTGGCACTGAAAGGGCTCAAGAACTGACACTTTCCAGGGGCCTTCCAGCTGCTTCTCCATGCAGATCGGGAAGGACAAGGATCACTATACCTTGCTGGGTCTGCAGTGACATGAAGGAAGATTAAGTGCTAGAGTTACTAAATACAGAGAAAAAATAAATCAAATTCTGAAACCTTTTAGGTAATTTTATAAAATTGTCACAAGAAAACTGAAGCTTCACTTTAGCTCTCGCTTAAGAAATTGGTGCTACTTTTCCACATTTAAGCAGAGTTATATTTAATATTGGAGGGAGAATTTAGCTTTTGTCACCACTGAATTCTAAACAGTGTGACTAAAGCTCTGATGCTGAGGCAATGTGTTGCTTGCACAAACTCTGCTTTCCTGAGCAATGCCTCCTACAATTTCTTTAAATGAAGAAGCAGATTGCACAAGTATTTGAAGCTGCTAGTCATGGGGATATTTTGTAATGTAATTAATGGGGATATTTTGTGCCAAAAAGCAATGATCCTATTTGCTTGTTTAGTTTATATTCATTGCTTAAGCAGTGTAGAGGTGTATGCATATGCTTGTAATGTGGTATCTGTGTGTATGTATGTATTCACATGTGTGCTGCCAGTATGCAGGAGCTGTTTAAATAAACGTACATATAGCTATCTGTCTTAATAGCAAAAGTAGCCCAATAAAACAGCCTGCTCACAACTTAGCAGCCCCTTACCCCACTGGTAGCTTGGTACAAATCAGAGGTGCAGATGTGTGTTATCTCCTGCCAGATCTGCCAGGTGTGCTTGGAGTCAGGCACAGAGGAGGCTCAAGCAGATGGGAAAGATGCCTTAACCCATTGAAACAAAAATTGTAAGAGCTCATCTGTCAGATGTCTAAAGAATGAAGTTTTGCTATGCTTTGTTCTTTACTGTCTGCAATAGGTGGACCCAAAGTGGAGGACTTTCCAAAAGATCCCTTTTATTGGCCAAGAATTGCATTTAGCTGTCTGACTCCTGCAACTCAGAATTTAGAGGATATAATATCCTTTCCCACCTATTTAATCTTTAGCAATCATTCTTAGTTTCCAGCTGGTGTGAACTGACATCGTTCCCCAAAGCTCCCTGTGGAAAAAGATCCAGCATTGAGGAAGCACTGGGGAAGATTTGTCACCCAAAGGTGCACCTGTCAGTGGGGGCATCAGTGATACAGTCTCCAGTGTTGATCCAACATTTCACACATGCATGTCCAAAACTTTCTTTCAAGGCAAAGGAATGCATTAGGAGATCAGGAATATTTTCAATGGTAGTAAAAAAAAATACTAGTTTGAAAGTAGAAAGAAATACAAATGATGGGGTGGCATGTGAGACTAAAACTCCCATACTGACAGACTCAGTGAGTTGGGAAGAAGTGGAGCAGGAGGGAGCAACAGGGCAACTGCTTTCTGCTTTTCACTCATAATGGCATCAGATCATAGAAACAATCATTTAATGGGGACATTTATGGTGTGTTATAACATTCCCTCCACTGCCATCAAAATTTTTGAGCCTAAGATAAAAACCTTTTGCATTTATAGGTTATTAGCATCCTTTTTTAACTTTCTGTAGGCAGTTTGCATATAAATCTCATTTTAAGAATAGTCCATTAAACCCGCAGCTGTCACTTGCTGAGAGATTTGGGGTGGGGGTTTTTTTCCATCCTGAAATCATCCTTGTAATGTCTTTTGTGTTTTTCCTTCAGAGCTTTGCCTCATTTTTCTTTTTTTTATTCACCTGTTAAAATTGCAGTTCTCTCTCACAGCTGGCAGATTGGAAATAATGGAATTTAACTGCTATTACAATGGTTCTGAGCAAAAAAATCTTTTCAGTTCCTGATTTTAGAAATGTATGTTTTACTAGCTCATTCCCTTCATAGCCACATTTTCTATTTCCACTTCAAAATACAAATACCCATTGTTCTGCCTAATAATATTTATTTTTAAATTGTCAATACTCATAAATTCACACATTCTCATCTGAGAGGTACTTGATGTAAAGACATAAAATAATTAATTCAGAAAGGAAATTAAAATAAGAGACACAGGTGTACTGCTAAGGTTTAGGCTGTAAAAGCATGCCATCAAAAATCTCCCATTACAGTAAGGATCTAAAACAGAGAAGAAGAGGTAGTGATAGAAGTGGAGGAGGCTGGAAGTCACTCCACATTAGGCCAGTTTACCAAAATTACTGCAAAAATGTAGACAGATGCTCAAGTGGAGCTGTATTTAGGAGCGTGGCTGAACACCTGCTTAAGGTTCAGTCAGTTTTACTCACTGACACTGACAGTCTTTATTGCACAGGTGCAGTAAATACATATGTATGTGTGTATGTATATATATATATATAGCCATGTGAGAGTGCTGAGGAAGGAGGGAGATAACTGGTATCACCAATTTATGGAGTACAGAAAAATCCATGCAGACTGGGTTGGGTTCTGATGTTCATGTTTCAAAAAAAAAAAAAAAAAAAAGAAGAAAAGAGCAATTGGAAAATGATCAGAAATGCATTACAGGAATTATGTCTGGGGAACTTCCTCAGCTGAGCAGAGGGCAACAGGAGGGTTAGAACCAGCTGATGATATCTGGCAAGGGGAAAAGTTTTCTGTGACAGATGACTTTTAATATTTCAGGTAATGTTAGAAAAACTTCAGAGGCTAAAAACTGGATCTATGAGAAATCAGGGTAGAGGTGGAGTACACATTTTTAACAGCAAGGATGAATAATGGCTACAGCAATTGATTTTGGACTGTAATCGATTTGCCATCATTTGCAATCTGAAAGCCAAGGCTGAATGCGTTTCTCAGGGGCTGTGCCTCAGCTCATGCCTCAGCTCTGTCTTGATTCCGAGGGTACCAAACAATACTCTGTAGTCCACGTTGTAGAAAAAGTCATTTTGGATGGTTATAGTTACCCCCACTGGCCTTAAATCCTATTTAGGTTTTTGTTGACATGATCAACCATATGTAACAGGGTTTGTAATGAATGATCACTCGGGAAAAAAATGAAATAATTGATGTTAACAGAAGAAATTTCAACAGATTTTTTCTCTTTTTTTCTTTTCTTTTTTTTTTTTTTAATTCATACCAAGCTTGATTTCATTTAAACCAATGGTAAAAGACAGAAGATGCCAAGGCTAACACCAAAGGGAACAGCATTTTTGCTGTTGATTCCTATTGTACTGTCTTAGTTCATTTTGAGCTTTTGTCGTATAAAATATTATCTTTTATTTTTATATTTATAATAATGTATTTAAAATACTTTTTTCTAATAAAGCAAAAGTTCATATGATTAAAAACTGCTAAAGATAAGTCACATTTCAAACAAGATAAATAAAAAGAGGAAAAACCCTGTTTTTTACAATTCAAGAATTTTATTTGTATTCTCTGAGTGTACATGGCCATATCCCAGGGTAACAACTGTCCTGAGAAAATAATCAATATGAAAAAAGTGATCTTAGTTTTCTAAAGCTGAATGCTTGAAGATTTTTATTTTGTGTTTTGCCATCTATACTATCAATCTGGAAATAAAAATCAGGTGGACTTAATTCCCCAAGAAGCTGCTGTAATTTTGTATCTGGCTTCAGTAGTGTAACAACTTGCCCTGT